GGCGTGGGAAGTAGGGTCAGATTGTGAGAATGAGCTAAGGTTTAGCACTGGATTGTGATTTTATAAATCACAGTATTCAAAACTCAAGTGTGTATAAGCAATGCCAAGACTGTTAAACAAGAAATGACAAAACTCTCCAATCTTTTCCTTCCTCTTGGAGATAATCAGAGCCATCTGTTCCACCATTTTTGAAGCTGCTTCAAAATAATTATATTCAGGTCTTACCTAAAATTATACTTTATTAAAAAAAAAGGTTTAAATGGAACTACACTCTATTGTTGGGCGTCACTTTGCTCATTCAACAGCATTTTATTTAATAAGATTTTTGCCTGCCATGTCTATATGTGTCCTGTACCAGACTGTGTGCTAGGTCAGCACTACAAACTGACTTTATTGGAGAAAGAAGAACTAAAGCAAAGAGAAAACAACTAAAATCGTTTAAATTGTAAAGAACGACAGAATAAGTGGAAGCATTTGTGATTTAAGATATTTTTAGTCAAGTTTGGTGCCTGCATCTACGATGCCTCACTATTTACTATGTGCCAAATTAAACAATAACTTTTGGGCTTATAGCAGTCTCAGTATAATATGATTGTTGCAATCTCAGCTGCAATCAGTTTGAGTAGTAGTCACCTTAAGGAAAGAAGAAAGCCACCTATTTTATATTTTAATTGGGCAGAAGTAATATAGCAATAAGCTAACATCTCAGCTGGGCTGAATTTGTCTGATTAACTTGCTTCTACTTATACCCTTTGCCAGTGGAGCAGAAGGTGCTTAACTGTGAAAAAAGGAAGCCCCAGGTATTTTCATTGTTATATATATATATTTACTCCTAACAATTTAATCCTCATAATCCTATAGGGAAGGTAGTCTTATATCATTTTTCAGATGGAAAACTTGAGACCAGCCTCAGAGCTAGACAAGGGCCATGGAGGGCCAAGGTCATGGCAGAGTTCAATTGTCTCCAAAGGGAGCAGTTATGGACAACTTAAGGTAACAACTTGATCCATAAAGATTGAAGCAAGAATGACTGAGCAGGTAAGTAAAGGGTTAGTGAAAGAAAACTCTAAGGAGGGCAAGGTGACAAGGTGAAAACGATGGGTGACTTCACAGTTGGACATAAGAGCTGAATAACCATGGGTGTCCTGGAATTCTTTTGAGTCTTGGTTTCTTTTATGTAAAAAGGGATAATAATATCTACATCAGAGATTGGTTTTGAAGATTAGGTGAAACAATGTGTGTAAAACATGTAGCCTATATTCCTTTCTTCTTCTTTCTCTTCTTTCCTTCCACTTCTTTGTAATTTTGTCCAGGGGTGGTCTTCATTCTAATCGAAGGTAATGGGAAATCAAAGTTAGTGACAGTAAAACTCATGGAAATGGGAGAGAGATAAACAGCAGTCAATCATTTAGTTATAGAGGGGTTGTGCTTGGATATGATTCAAAACCTAAACCTAATCTGTATTTTATGTCAAAAGTTGATAGGGCCTTTCAGTGTTGGACACTCAATTCTGACTTTACGGACTTCCTAATACTGGAAAAAGAATGTGTGAAATTCCATTTTGGCATTTTCTACAGTGGTACTTTCAGATGTTTCCTAACAGCTGAAGCCTCTAATCTACCCTCCCCCCAGCATATCATTTGCTTCCCAGGAGCTCACAAGATTGAGGCCATATGGGTACATATCCTTAAATTCCCCCATGGTCACTCCACAATCTTCTTCGAGTGGCCTTTTTACTTTCTCTTATCCAATATTAATATATTTAGTCCCCTTCATCCTGGCTTTTTGAAGGAAGTGACATCTCTTTTTTTTTTTTTTTTTTGAGATGGAGTCTCGCTCTGTTGCCCAGGCTGGAGTGCAGTGGTGTGATCTCGACTCACCACAACCTCTGCCTCCCAGGTTCAAGCGATTCTCCTGCCTCAGCCTCCCAAGTAGCTGGGACTACAGGTGTGTGCCACCATGCCCAGCTAATTTTTGTATTTTTAGTAGAGACAGTTTCACTATATTTATTTATTTATTTATTTCCTTCCTTCCTTCCTTCCTTCCTTCCTTCCTTCCTTCCTTCCTTCCTTCCTTCCTTCCTTCTAGAGAGACAGGGTTTCTTGCTCTGTTGCTCAGGCTGGAGTGTACAGTAGTGTCCTCTGATGATAGCTCACTGTGGTCTCTAAGTCCTCGGTGGGCTAAAGTGATCCTCCTGCCTCAGCCTCCTGATTGGCCAAGTAGCTGGGACTACAGGTGTACACCACCACACTCAGCTAACTAGAAGTAGTCTTTATGATGGACTGGCATTCGTTCAGTTAAAAATGGAGGACTCTGTTAGTGAGGAGGAAGGGATGAGCAGATATGGAGGGTCAATCAGCAATCTCTGTTAGAGAGGTGATGGGGATAATGGTATACTTTGGAGTTAAAACTGAATTGAACTGGATGGAATATAATGATGCTAATAATGAGCCACCATGAAAGTAAAAGAAAAATAAAAGATATCTTTAGATTGTTTTAATCTGGTTATAGAGTGAAGGTCCCTTTTAACAAAAGTGGAAAACCCAAAAGAAATATATACTTAAAATGTATTGCATATAGATAATAAAGTTTCCCAAGTAAGCCACTGTGCAGATAACACAGGAATATGATACAGTTGCAAACCAATCTGGTAGATAACTATGCAGGCTTCTTCCTTCCACTCTTCTAAGGCAGGGCAATCAATCGTGGGTTTTTGCTGTTATTAATGTGATAAAATAGTATGTATAGTATGGTGTCTGGCAAATAATAAATGTTCAATAAGTAGAGTGAATTCTTATTATTTTAATTATGTTTTTAAACAAAAGTCATCTAGGAGAAAACAAAAGTATGATGACAGAGACTTCTTGTGAAAATCAGTGAGTGGCTCTCTGCAGTGGATACAGAAATGCCCCAGCATGGAGACCATCCTGTAAACTGGCTCTGCTGTCCCAGCAGTGATGGAAAGCACTCAATTTACTTTCTCGTGGAAGAGACAGAGTGGCTGTCAGTTTACTGCAATCTTTTGGACTGCCTGGAAAATTGAACGTACAACAGGAGAAAGGAGAGGCGGGACACAGATTCTGGAATAGAAGTCGAAGACAAAGAGGCTCGTAAACATCAAGATTCTGGGGCTAATCTAGCCATTCACAGCTTTAGAGCCATGGGCAGTAACACTTAAAAAATACACTATGTTCTAACTACCACAAGGTTTTTCACTCTAGCAACGAAAAAAGCACCAGCCTCAGGCTTTGCAATATTAAAAGTCGCAGCTCATCCACCATCAGATGCTAACTGACCCTGCTGTTCTACAAGCCATAACTACAACTTTGATTGGACAAGAGTCTGGTTTCAGTAACTTTCTCCTGATTAAGAAGACCACTGACCATTGACTGGTTCTGCCCGTTTACAGAGATTACACACTTACCTACCTTTGTATGTAAAATGATCTTTTGATATATAAAGCATAACTGTAACACATTTAAATGCTAAGTAGCCACCCCAAAGTGAACATGGGTCATATGTTACATGCATGTTTGTTCAATAGGCATGTGTCAGGACCACCTTCATGAATATTCATAGCTCCTCCTGTAACCAGTTAAATATATATGTTTAGCCAACCTCTTTAGCATAAAGCTCCTACCCCAAGCCCCCCTCCTTTGAAGGGCCTCTCTCTGGTCTTGCCTGGATGGCCACCTTGCAGGCTGTAACCCTTTGGAAGAAATAAAGTCTCCTCTCTCCTTTTCAAAACTTAAAAATTGTGAATTTTTATTTTTATTTTATGTATTTAACTTTTAAGTTCAGGACATATGTGCAGGTTTGTTATATAGGTAAATTCATATCATGGGGGTTTGTTGTACAGATTATTTCATCGCCAAGCTATTAAGTCCAGTACTCATTAGTCATTTTTTTCTGATCGTCTCCCTCCTCACTCACTCTGTCCTCTAGTAGGCCCCACTGTCTGTTGTTCCCCTCTATGTGTCCATGTGTTCTCATCATTTAGCTCCCACTTATAAATGAGAACATGCCATATTTGGTTTTCTGTTGCTAAGGATAATGGCCCTGAGCTCCATCCATGTTCCTGCAAAGGATATGATCTCATTCTTTTTTATGGCTGCATAGTATTTCATGGTGTATATATACCACATTTTCTTTATTCAGTCTACCACTGATGGACATTTAGGTTGATTCCATGTCTTTGCTATTGTGAACAGTGCTGCAATGAACATAAGTGTAATGTGTCTTTGTGATAGAGTGAGTTATATTCCTTTGGGTATATACCCAGTAATGGAATTGCTGGATCCTATGGTAGTTCTGTCTTTGAGGAATCACCACACTGATTTTCCAAAATACACGTGGCCAACAAGCATATGAAAAAAAACTCAAGGACACCGATCATCAAAACTACAATGGATTTTTTAAGTTAATAATGTGAACAGGCTGAGTATGAGGGACACGGTGGCTCAAGCTTGAGTATATATGTGCTGGCAGGGGGATCTGTACAATGAAGACAATTTGTGGAGGGCTTCTCATTGCAGGTGGAGGATATGACTTCCTCACAAAGGCAACCATTAAGAGTTCTGAACAGATTAAAAGCTGCATAGGTCTGTGTTTTAGGGAGGTGGAAATGGGGATGATGGACTGGAAGGGTAAAAAACCAGAGATCAGTTTTGAAGCTGCTGTACCCATTCCAGAGAAGTGTTGCATTGACAGAGCACCCAAGTCCTGGAATAGGACCATGGTTAGAACGGCAAGTATTTATCAGTTGGAATGGTAAACATTTATCAGGGGAGCAACCAGGTTATTTAATCAGAGTCTCATTATGTCTTCTATAAAATACTCATAAAAAATATAAATTAAAAACGTGTGTAAACTATCTAGTGGATGGTCATTACTCAAAACAAGGTATTTTAAAAGTTTCTCCCATATTCTTTCTGAGTACAACCTGTAGTACCTGAACCACTTCTCTTTTGGCCCCTACCACGATGTTCTGCAATCTCTTTTTACCTGTCTCACCCTCTTCCTGTACTGTGTGCCTCATCGGGACTTCTGAAGGCTTACAGCCTAGGTCTTTGTATTCCGTGTCTCTGGCACGCGCCTCTGCACTCCGTAGGCCTCAACCAAAACTTGTGAGCAAATAGGAATGTTAAGGGGGTGAAGGAGGTGGGCGCGAAACGGTTTCGAGGTCGCTCACTCAGCCGGTTTCTGCCGCCAGGCCAACGCCGCTGGGTTGTATCTAAGAGATCGCCGGTGTCAGAGCGCAGCCGGCACCTTCCCAAGCATCTTGAGGGACAAGCAGAATCGCTCCTCCCGCAGGGCGCGGGCTAAGAAGTAAGGAACCCAAGGGGCTCCTGTCCAACTAAGAAGCGAAATCCCCCTCCTCCAGGCCTTCAGGGCTGGTTCTTGGGAAATCCTAACTCTTTCCCCTTCTAACCCCTTCCTTGGCCCTTCTTCCTGCCCTGGAGGATCAAGGGCGCTGTTTTCCAGAAGCTGCCGGGTCGGAAACGGTAGGGGAATGGGGCGGTACGCGTGGGTGGAGGATAGGCGGGGAGGGGGCAGTCCACGAACTTTTGTCACAGCCTGGGAGACCGCGGTGACATTCCTGTCTGCTCTGCCGGCAGGCCAGCCTCTCCGGCCCTGGACTAGGGGGCGCCGCCGAGAGAAGCCGCCGCAGGCTGCAGAGTCGCCGACCGCGCTGCTCGCAGGGAGACCCCGGGCTGCCCACCGCGGCCTAGCGCGCGCCGGATGGCAGGAGAAGTGTCAGCGGCCATGGGCCGCTTCTCGCTGGAGTGGTTGGGCCTCCCGGGCCTGGCCCTCGCCGCGGCCCTGCTGCTCCTGGCCCTCTGCTTGCTCGACCGGCGCACCAGGTAAGCGCCTCGGCCGCCCGGCCACGCATGCGCCCTGGGCCCCGCGGGCCGCGCGCGACCCAGATGGCGAAGGGAGTCCCCCTCCATGATTTCCAGTGCAGACAGTCAGAACTTGCTGCGGGGCACTGGCTTCCTCTGGGACTTTGTAATAACAAAGGCTTCTTCTGTCTTTTTCCCACACATACGCATACATATTAAAGCTTTGGGACCGAATTCCATTTGCTGCTCCAGCATAAGTTGTAATAAGCCCTAGGTTGGCGGTATGCATTATGCATCACAGACACATTGTGTGTCTTGCCACTGTGAGTTGATGTTTTATGGCCTAGAAGTCATAGAGCATTTCAGGAGGGGAATATTCTTACATTTCATTAGTTAAGAGAGAACTATTTCAAGAAAATGTCAGTGCATGGTGTGAACAATAATTCTGAGTGCCTCTTCCTCAGTTTACCTCCCTGTACCTCATCTGGAAAGCTGAAATAATAGTACATGCCTCGTGAGATTTTTGTGAGTACCAAATGAGTTAATGGAGAGTATTTTATGCAGTTGCTCTATCATTTTTATAAGGACAAAACAAAACACAATAATGACAAAACCTAGACGTATGTCACTTCTTTACCTAATTTGAATTGTGGAAGTAGAAATAGAGTAGTTCAGATAAAATCATTCACTTTGAGTTTAATCTGTTTTTCCTTTCTTTCTGGGTCCTATTTTCATACTGCTCTGGTGTTCATCGCTTTTGAAAACCAAGCAGATGCATTTTGTTGGGTGATAATTGATACATATATGTATGTATATTTGCATACATATATATCAATGTATAGATATCTATGTGTGTGTGATACAGGTTGTTTCTCAATAGTTTTTGGGGAAATGACACCTTTGCACTGCATACAAATATCTATCGTCATTTCTAGAATGCCTGGAGATGAGTACTGTAGGAGTATTTGCCTTTCTTCCCATGTCAGTTTTCAGAGATGTCCCTGGAATGTGCACTCCTCCAGGATGTCTTTTCCAGTGGCTGTGCTTTTGCTTTAGAGGCCAAGATGAGGACTCAGGACACTTGAACTTCAGTGGTATGTGATTCTATGTAGGTTCCACCTTCTCTATTTGCAGGGTCAGTCAAAGCCAGTTAAGTACCTCTAGGTATGCCTTTAAAGAGAGGTGGTAAAAGAAGGCTGTTGTTTCTATTCCAACTTTACATGCAGGGTAGAAACAGACAAGCTGACTAGGGCAGTTTGGATCAGTGAAGGTAATTGGTGTGAGAATGTGGAACTTGAGGGACAGGAAGGCGAAAGGGTAAGGTAGGCTTTCTCTCCTAGCGTTCTGAGAATAGGCTGATCTTTATATCATGAAAAATTATTTTACTGAGATATTCATGCCATCAATTGCCAATTCCTTCATAAGAGACTGTTTAATGCCGCATATCTATGGGACACTACTTTGATTATATTGCATTTCAGTGTGTAAAAGATAGCCTCATTTGTCCCAGTACAGAGTCATGTTCCTTATTTCTAGTGTTTGGACAATTTACTAATGCTCTACGAAAATGATTTTTCTGATATCACCTCTAAAAACAGAAACATGGTTAAGAGTCCCTGATATATTCTTACAGATTTTTTTAAAGCTTATGCTAATATGCATGAATATATGTTACTAAAAATAGTGGGGAAATATACCCTATGTTGCACCTTGTATTTTCCACTTTGCAATACATTTTAGTTACCTTCCTATGTCAGTTTATAGAAGTCATTATTTGTAACGATTATATAAATATACACCATACATACACAAAAACACACACACAAAACATGGATATCTTTGAGCTTTTGTGGAAATATTTATGTAGGATGGTGGAGTTGTTATCAAAATGTATGTGTGCTTTACATTTTAATAGATGTTGCCAAACTACTCTAAGCCTCAATTTATGTTACTACTAATCATCTGTGCAAGTGCCAATTTCTCCACATTCTGCCAATACTGGTAATATAAATCATTTTAATTTTGCCAATCTGATACATAAAGAAAATGAAGCTTCATTTTTATCCCAAATTTTCATGTATTTACTTTTAAAGGAATTTGTATATTTTTAAAGACAATAATTGTCTGTTTCTTCAATAATTTATTTTTCTACTGGGTTCTTTTTCTATACAGTCAGCAAAGACTTACGTAATAGGAATTTTCATACTTTTTCATACCAGCTGCAATTATTTTTACTATTGTAATTTGCGTTTGTTTAAGAGTTTTTAGATATATGTCCTTGCTTAGAAAGCCCTTCTTGTTCCTAACATGATAAAAATATTCAGCACAGTTTTCCATTATCACATTGAGAGATTTTTACATGTATATAGATTACATTTTTATTCTCATTCCATTTTCATCTTTTGAACAATTATGGCTGAAAAGTGTGTAATACTGCATAGTATAGGAATGCCAGATGTTCCAAAGTAAAAATTTAAATATTACCTATAAAAATGGTAAAAAAAAAAATTTTAAAAATCGGTAAAAATGAATTCAGTGGTCATTTATTGCCTTCAGACACTTATCAATTCCACCTCTTTTGGCTACAGTACTTTGATTTCCTTTTGTGAAATTGTCTTTTCCCTTATTGGTTATTATCTGGTGAGACTGTCAATCACAGATGCCATTGCAGTATTTATCAGGAGAGATGACAGTGACTTGGCCTAGGGTTGTGACTGTGGGGTTGATGGAAGGTGGTTAGAATCAGGATATATTTTTGACAACAGAGTCAACAGAATTTACTAATGGGCTAAACATGATGTGTGAGGGAGGTGGGAATCAACAAAGAAGCTTAGAAGTTTTGTTTCCCTTTTTTTTGTTGTTTTTGGTTTTTTGTCTGATTATTTAGTGGACAGTAATGTCATTTCCTTAGATAGGGAAGGTTTGGGGGAATTGAGGAGATCAATAATTCTGTTTGGGGTATGTTAAATAGGCAGTGAGCACCCAGAGCTCAGGGGAGAGGTCCAGGCAGGATACATATTTGTGAAAGCCACAAATGTGAAAAGGGAATTAAAGCATGAACAAGTTGAGATCGCCTGATGAAAGGGTTTGATGGAGAAGAGGAGGGCCTGGGCCACTCTCCTTATGGAAACTGAGCCTGGCAGAGAAAGAGGAAAGTTTTTTTACATTCCTTTCTAGTCCGTTCCTACCAGAGTTCTGAGTCAGTTTTGTCCATTCTTGAACTTCATATAAATGGGATTATACAGTATCCATTTTTGTGTATAACTTCTTTGTCTCAACATAATGATTTTAACATTCATTCATGTTGTTGTATCTATCATTAGTTCATTCATTCTATTTAATTGTAGTTTGTAATATATATAACACAGGAGAAGATTGAGGGGCATAGAATATAGAGTTTTCTATCCACAACCACTTCTGAAAATTGACACTTTTCTAAGTAATTGTTGATTTTTAAATTTTTTTAAATACTTCCACCAGTAATACATGAGAGTTTACGTTGCTCCACATCCTTCCCAGTATTTATTAATGCCAGTCTATTGGTTGGAAGCACTATCTTTCTGGATTTTGGATTTTGTTTTTTTTCCTCTGAAGTGTTGATTTTTGTTTTAGCATGCAGATACGTTTCTGGCTGATTATTCTGAACTCATGGCAGCTTAGTTTTACTCTTTGTCAAGATGAGTCTATGAAAAGGTTGTGATATTTACAGATTCTCTCTTCTTTGGTGATGCTATGATTTGAACGTTTGCTTCCCCTCTAAAATTTGTATGTTGAAATCCTAACCCCCAAGGTGACAGTGTTAAGCAGTGGGGTCTTTCGGTTATAATTAGATCATTAGGTCATTGCCGTCATAAATGAGATTAGTCTTCTTATAAAAGAGATCCCAAAGGGTTCCCTCGCCCCTTTGTCCATGTGAGGACACAGCAAGAAGATGGACGTTTATGAACCAGGAAGTGGGCCCTCATCAGATACTGGATGTACTTGTGCCTTGATCTTGAACTTCCCAGGCTCCAGAACTGTGAGAGATAAATCTCTGCTATTTATAAGTCAATCAGTTTATGGTATTTTGCAATAGCAGTCTGAATTGACTAAGGCAGATGAAATTCAAACCCTAAACTCTGTCACCCCAGTGGTGGGCAGTAGCTGAAGCTTCTGTGCAGGATTCCAGCAGATCCCTTCCGCTGGGCTTTTTGGGGATCTTCCCTGAAGATGCACGCGTCCAGAGTTGGCCAATAATTTGAGGGGTGTATATATACAGATTTTTGAGGTGCTTTCTTTTTTTCTAGATTTCTTTCCTTGATTGCCAGCCACTTCAGTAGCCCCAAACTCTGAAACCCCATGCTGATAATATTTGTAGCTTTTTGCTTGAGTTCCAGCTTGCTGATAGGGAGTGCCCTCAGGGGCAATCCTGTCCACGCTGGACCTCTCTCAATATGGGTCTGTTCTTTAAGCGTTACCTCCCCTCCGATATCTGCCTTCTTTTGCCTGTTCTTCAGCGAGTATAAATTGGTTTCTTTTTTTTGTTTGTTTCATATTTTGTTTTCCGTGGAAATGTTGGGTTGGTTCAAGCAACTTTGCCATTTCTGGAATCCAAACTCTATGTAAGAAAGACATTTACCAGTGATTATTTCTAGGTGACATATTTCTATGGGATGGTTTTTCTTGTCTTTGTTATGCTTATATGTATCTTTAAGGTGATATCAATAAATACGTATTTATTTTACAAAACAAAGAATAATAAATTTAAAATTTTATTTTAATATTTTATTTAAAATAAAACTTTGAGAAATATGTTTAAAGTGTTTTAAATTATCATTTCCATTGGAAGGACCAGCAGTTGGGTAGTCCTTCCCATAGAAGACTTCTTACTTAGAACTGGATGTGTTATGAAACGCAGTTCATCTACAGCAAGTCATTAATAACATGTTTTTGTCCAATAATGAGATATATTTTTAAATCACTGTGTATCAATAATAGACTTAGGTATAGATACCTACTTCCCAAATTATTGTTGAAGATAA